CAAGATCTAATAAACAACAAAAATACAGTAAGAATGCATAGAAGATCTGAATGACACTGTCAACCATCTTGACCCAAATAATACTGATAGAACTCTACACCCAACAACTGTGTAATATACATTTTTTTTTCAAGGTCATGTGGAATGTTCACCAGGGATAGACACATGCTGGGCCATAAAACAAGTCTCAATAAATTTCAAAGGATTAAAATTTAGAGAATATGTTCTTTATCAAAAAAACCAAACCAAACTCACTGCTGTTGCATAGATTCTGACGCATAGAGACCCTTCCTTGGGTTTCCAAGGCAGCATCTCTACAGAAGTAGATTGCCCAGTTTTCCTTCTAAGGAGTGGCTGGTGTGTTTGAAACACCAGCCTTCTGGTTAGCAGTCAAATGCCTTAGATACTATGCAGGTATGAATCTATTAAATATGAGATCTAGAGAAGTCCTAAATATCTGGTAGAGGATCTAAATTGATCTAGATCTGACAAAGTAAACACTTTGTGAAACAAAACTACAGTTTTCCCCTCCTCACATTCTTTAGAGAGAGACAGAACCTAGCAGAAAGTAGTGTTTCTCAAAAAGAGCTCCAGGATGTTCTCTATCTGCCTTTGGAGGGGTACATGGAATATGGCAATAAATTCGAGATGATGGGAACATGATACTGAGAAAAATGGCCTGATTTATCCTTTGGTCTCTTGACTCCAACTGTTTGCCTTTCAAGAATATCAATCCCAGTGTGCAGTGCTCCCTTTTATACTTGGCTTGTCAAGATCTGCTTTCTAATCTTGACCCCAGCACCCAGCCCCAACATTTCAAGATAGTGAAATAAGTAGTCAAGGCAGTGCTGGACTCACATTGATATCATGGCCAGATGTACCTTCTGCTTCACAGAAGCATTAGAAAGTCATTAGGGTCTTCTACATGGTGAATTTTGGAAAACACTGGCCTTTCTCATAAGGTTGGCTTGTTTACAGTGCACCTGACATGGCCACACAAGCCAAGGGGACACTTAAGAAGATGTCATGAGAATAATGGGAGCCAGTTTTATCACTGTTAGAGAAGGGAGTTACAAATATGAAAAGAGAAAGAACAGAATGAACCTTGTTGTGTTGGACTGGAATTGGAGATATCACTATGAACTCATGGTTTTATACAGATAAATAGATGGACTGATGGATAGGTAGGTAGGTTGGTAGAGACAGAGAGAGAAAGAGAGAGAGAGAGAGACTGAACAGTTGAATAAAATAAAATACATCTCTACTGATATAAACAAACAAATAAATAGGAGAGACGGGAAAGCTCTTTCTTATAGTAGAATGCTAATCAATAAACATGGAAAGAATGCTGACGTTAGAAATTCATCAGCAAATGCTAAAATTTGTGGGTAAAAGTTTGATGAAGAACAGGATATTTACATAGACTCAAAGTATCTACCCCCAAATTATGTATTAATTGCAAAAGGAAAAACAGTAACTCTTTACTGGTGAGTTATTTTATAGAATATCTGTTAAGTTTGGTTTGTATGATGTTCCTTGTGGCTAGATTTAGAGAAAATTTGTCACTTCCATGGTATTCCTGCCAAAGATACATAACCTAAATCTAAAATCTTCAAAAATATTAAGGTGAAGAAAATCAAAGCAAGGCTGAGAAATTGTTCCAAATTAAATGAGACTAAACAGAAAGGACAAACAAACTCACTGGTGTTGAGTCTGATACACCTCAATAGCGACCCCTTGTTGGGTTTCTGAGGTGATGTCACTACAGAAGTAGATTGCTCAACCTTCCTTCTCAGGAGTGGCTGGTGGGTTTGAACCACCAGCCTTCTGGTTAGCAGTCAATGCCTTAGGCACTATGCCACCAGAGAAAGGACAGTCAGGTACAATGTGTGAACCTGGATTGTACACTGGCTTGTGGAAAAAATTAGTTGTACAAACACTAATCTACAGGTGGATATATAGATAGACAGACAAGAAGATCAGGTATAGCTAGGCCAATGGGAATATACCCATGACCGTACATAGGTCTGGCAGACGATATTCCTACATGTATATTTATATGTGCTATAAAAATGTCCACATGCAGTTTAAACCTAACAATGTTAGGATAACTTCTTAGCCACAACTAAGTACCTTGAGGGAGTGACTCACTTGGCCTGCAGGCTGGGGACGATGGTCACAGGGGATATCAAGCTCAATTGGCACAAAATGGTATTATAAAAATATGTTTTACATCTTACTTTGGCAAGCAGAAACTGATGTCTTAAAAGCTTGTGAGCAGCTGGCTAAGAGGCAACTATTAGTCTCTC